TTTTCAGCTCGCCCACCTTGGTATTTCCTGTAGAATACAAATTCATATGCAATCTAAAGATACCAAGGCTAATATCTTTATTTGACCTCTAAAATTGAAACAGTTATACTCCAAAACTAGTTATGTCTTCCAGGCATCATTATGCGCTGATGACAATCATGCTGTTGTCTTCCAGTACTTTAAATAGTCTCAAGAACTGCAAACCATCTGGAGCAAACTGGAAGCAAATAAATCTAAACCACAGTCTCTTGTTACAGAAAACTGCATTGTGACCCCCCTCAAACAAACAAAAACACAACAACAACACAACTCTGGATGAGTAAGGGAAACATGACTTCCAGTTTTTGGCCATCTTCTCCAATTTGGTCATCCTGTAAAGTTGGCTTTGTGGATTCCATAAGAACTTGTCTTTCCAAGATGGCTACAACATTGGTGCAGCTCAAGAATTCATAGTGCCTGTTGGTCCACAGTTGTGGCCTAGCAAAGCATTCAGATGGCACACAATTGCAGTTGAACAAAGTGTCCCAAAAGCCTATTGCTCTTACTTCAGAATAACCTTTCTATTTCTCAAGTAGAAGAGACAAACTGCAGACATGCCTTCAACTGGGTTCTAGAGATGAGTCTCGTCCACACTGCCAGCCAATCTTAATGAATCAAGCTTGGATTAACGGAACAGCAGTCAGCAGTGGGATTTAGAGAGCCACAGTCAGACCTTGTGCAATATTCTGAGGTCTTTAACCCTAACCCTCCCTACTACTGTGTCTGAAAAGCTATTCCAGAAAACAGAAGCATCCCATGGTAATCTCTGAGACAGCAAAAGGGGCAAAAAGGGAATTGTTTGTTCTGATGTTACTACCATTTCTACCTGTTCATTTCTCCTTTAAAAGAACAGATTGATCTGGACACCTCATTGCATTTATGCAATACACTCTTTGAACATTTAAAGTACTTAACATATATTCTATCCAACGTTTTAGGCTAAAGCAAAACAAAAAAACACACAACATAACACAACTACATACCACTCCACTCTTGAAATTCTGTATCCGTGTCTTCCCTAGGCGATTCAGCAGCCACCATGCCCAGGTTGGTGCGTATTGCCAGAGGTAACAGACTGCCAGATATGGATTGTCACTAACCCAAGCTTCCATTATATCATTAGCTATGCTGACCAGGGTCAGACGAGCACAACGGTCGGTTCGCATTTTGTGAGACTGGTCCCCAACATTTTTATTTACCTGGGTGGGAGGGGAGAAGGGACAGAAAAAGGAGAATATTAGTGTGTTGCAAGATACCTTTTGCCAGAAGAAATAAGTCTTGCACCAACTGCTTAAAAATAAGATCCTTGTACGACTGCACATTTCAAATCAATGCAGGGAGTAAAAAAAAAGGTGGGTGGGTTATGCTATAGATCGGCCTTTCTCCCAGTGTTGCTGACTACAATTCCCACCATCTCCGACCACTGGCTATAATGGCTGATGGGTTTAAGAGTTTAGCACGATCTGCAAGGCCATGAGTTCCTGCTGCTTTTAAAGGTTTAAATGGATTTGCCTTAAAAGCAAAGCTTCTTTTCCACGGCTGGCAGTGTATATAGATTAAGTTCTTCTTGAAACTGAATGAGAAAAGTGTTTCCCCTCTGAGACAGACCCTGAAAGTCTGAAATAATTATGTGCCGCCAAGTCAGTTATGACTTACAGTAATCCTTCCAGGATTCTCTATAATCGGAAGTAGCTGACCAGTCCTTCCTTCTGGTAGTGCTCTGGGACTAAGCCATTTGCCCAAGACCACAAAGATGGCAGGTCATGTAATCATACCAGACCTAACACCCTGGGTGATCATGACCAGCCCCTTCCACGAGGTACAAGGAGGATTCGAATCCTTGACTTCTGGCTCAACAGCCAGGTGCTTTGATCCACTGAGCTACACTTGTGCTCTAATGATGGGCTCTCAAGTCAATTCCAACTTAACAGTGCCCTGAAGTGCTCACTAGTGGTTTACCAAGCTTTCCTTCTGATGGTGCTCAGGGACTGTGCAACCTGCTGAAGGCCACAGAGGTCACAGGACACGCAGTCTTCCCAAAGCACGAACACTCCAGGTGATCTTGGCTGGCCCCTCTTCCAAGGAAACACAGCGGAGATTTTAAAAACCCCAACCTCTGGCTCTACTGCCAGACAGTCCAGCCCCGACACCAACTGAATGGACATGTGCTGTTTGTCAGACTGCATGGGTGACGTGGCAAGAGAAAAAAGCCGAGGGTATTAGTATTCATTCACGTTTCAAAGTCAACTTGCAAAATCACCACACATGTCAATTCAATATGTGCGTCATCAGAGTGGACGAGACTGATGAGACCACTTCAGACAGAAGGACGAGCAGAATACCTCCCCATATTCTAAATAACTAGGTATCTAGGAGAAAGGTCAAAGATTTCCTCCAACGTGCTAGATTAGTAAATGCAGAGAATCTCCACCGGATAAGTTCCTCAATCAAGGCGGGGAGGTTGATTAAAAGGCCAGCCAGTGCAAACTGGATATACAAACAGTGTCTTGTTTACTATTGTGACATCGCCTGGCAAAGCCAGAGTACACTGTGTCAACCCCAAACAAAGAACTGCCTTTGTGAAGGTCACTGCATGTGGCATTTCGAAATCCACTGGGAACTGCAGAAGTTCACTTTTTTTGTTGCAAAATGTTCCTGTTGGTCACGTTCCTCATCTCCACATTCAGTTCAAAAGAATCGCGCAACTGTCTTATGTGTAGGAACCTTTTACGTCTAAAAAAGGGTGGGAAACATTCAAACAGATAACTGTCCACTCCATATTCTGAAGTGGTTCAGCTCCAGGAAGGCTGTTAATCTTCCCTTACCTAAAAGACGTTACAGAGGATAACGGTACCACAGTTACAAATTATACACAAGCCTTATTTATATCTCTATGACATCTCTCTAAATTTCTTCCAGCAGAGACACCTCCTCCAAGGTGATACACATAGCTCCATAACAAGCATGTCAGGCTCTTTTTGAAAGAGCATCACTCTTTCAATTTATTTTTCAGGCCAGCCAAAAAAATCAGCTTTGTGAAGCAACTGGGTTGGTTACCAGTGTAGGCAGGCCCTCACACACTGAAGTGAGAAAGGACAATAATGGAATATAACTACCCTTTTTTTCTTTTGCCACCTTTTCAAATGTTTTGAGTCCATTTTGCAACCAACCCTCTCATGCATTCTTACCTTTGGAATCTCTTCAGTAAAGACGTTTTGTATGATCTGTGACTGGACAGGCCCTGGACAGATGTTAATTACACTTATGTCAGGATATTCATAAAGCTCAGGCCGAAGAGAATTAAAGAAACCCTAGAAAACAACAAGAATACGTATAGAAGTTAAAAAGCTCCAGTCACTACACAGCTGGTTCCCTTACCTAAAGACAAACCAGAAGTAATTTATGTACCTCTTGTCTAAGGACAAACCATGATCCTGACACAGCGAGACCTGGGCTTATGTACTCTCCAGTCCTTTCCAAGAATAACATCCTAGCTCATTAATAAACTGCATTTTGCAAAAAGAAAATCTTCTGTATTGGGACTTAATAGGAAAGCATAGTCTAAAACAATCCAAAACTCAAGTTTTAAGTTCCATTCTCCTCAAACATGGGGACAAGAGCATGTAACCCAATGGCTACCAATAACTACTAGTCATTATGGCTCTCTGTTACCTCCAGTGGCGAAACATATGTTTTTTGCTGGGGACCATGAGGGGGAGACACATCCTTTACAGGTACCACTCATTGGGGCATCTGGTTAACTGCTGTGTTAATGCTGGACTAGATAATTTCTATTCCTTTTTTCTCTTTTTGACACTTACTCTATATTCTACTTAACTTAGTGAGACCGCGACTCAGTCGTTACAAACTCATCAGACAAATGAAGTAGACAGACCAAATAAAACCCAAGTGAGGGCGACAGTCTTCGGGTGGCCCTGGGGGTATATTCACCGAGGGAGGGAGAATATCCTTAAAGGCTTCCTTTTTAATTGCCTTTTAAAACTCTGGAGGAAGAAGGCCTCCCTCTAGATCTCCAAGGGAAGATCATTCCACCGTGCAGGGGCCACTACTGTGAAGGCCTGCCTTCTAGTTCAGATCTTTGGTTCCCTATACTATAGCAAGGCTGTTCTGACGTCCTCAAGATTCTGCTGAAAGTCCAATCTCTTCAGGACAGGTGACCACGAGACACTCCTTTTGGCTATCAGTCAGTAAACTGGGAGGAAATGGCATGCTCAGTGATTTAGGTCTTTGGCTTGGGAGCCAGAGGTTCTTTAGGTCTTTGGCTGTGGAGCCAGAGGTTCGGGAGTTCAATTCCCCTCTTGGGTCTCTTTGACAGGGAGCTGGGCAGACTCAATATTCCATAGGGTCTCTTCCAATTCTGCAGTTCTAAGATTGTTGTTGCTGTTGCTGAGCCTATCTACTGGAGAACCACTGACGAAGCTGATTTTTCACCTCAAGAAGAGAAGAGTGGTAAGGTAGTAATGATGTCCTGTCAAGTTGACTCTAACCTACGATGACCCTTTCCAAGTTTACCTAGATGACTCCGGAGTAATTTACCACTCACTCTCTTTTTTCTAGGGGTTCTCTGGGATGGCGTAGCTTTCCCATGAACATAAAGGCTGGCTCTTTTCCAGGGAAGAATTAATTCCTACTTTCTGGCTCTGCAGCCAGGTAGGGGCTTTAAATCAGTGAGCTATCCAGCAGGTGATACCATCTTAAAACACCTGTAGGGCTGTCACATGACAGAGGGAGCAAGCTTGACTGTGGTTTAAACTTGAATTTGAATTGCAAGAGAAAAACATTTCGACTAGATATTAGGAGGAATTTCCTCCAGGCATGAGCTGTTTTGACAGTGGAACAGACCGTTTCAAAAGATGGTGGACTTTCCTTTAGCGATGCTTTAGCTGTGACAACCAGCAGCCGAGGGGTGGACTTAGATGGCCAGTGGGTTCTTTCTAACTCTAGGATTCCGTAAGTCTTATAAGCCCACCTTGTGTCACCTATTTCAGGCTGAAAATGACTGTTACCTGCAGAGCGTGTTTGCTGGCACAATAGCCAGTGGCCAAAGGGGCCCCCATGATGCCCATGACGCTGTTCATGGTTACGATCTTCCCCTTCTTCCTCTGTGTCATGTGATCCAGGACATATTTGGTTAAGGAGATTGTGCCCAGATAGTTCAGTTCCATTATTGCCCTGTAGACATCGATTTGGGTATCCATAAAGAGGGAACGCTGGGAACGACCGCCATTGTTCACCAAAACGTCAATCTTCAGCAGGAGAGGAAACAAGAAAGAATGAGAACATTACATTTAAGGGCAATCCAGCTGGAGGGAAAGGCGCAAAAGTGAACCACCAAAATAACCTAGGGCATGGGTCAACTCCCCCACAAAGGAAAGGTGGAAGGATACTCTTGTACCCATGTTCTGCTGGAGACGGGGGGGGGCACCGGATTATCTGGTTGATCCAAGAGATCAGCATGTTGATTATATAAGCCTTTGTTCTTACAGTCCCTAAACCTTCTCAGTATATATCCCAGCATCTCTTTATGCTCTGCAGAAAAGTGTTTTTCTTTAAAATACAGTGGTGCCTCGCTCGACAGTTACCCCGCATGACAGTTTTTTCGCTAGACATTGACTTTTTCCGATCGCTATAGTGATTCGCAAAACAGTGATTCCTATGGGGGTATTTCGCTGGATAATGTTTGGTCCCTGCTTCGCAAACCGATTTTCGCTAGACGACGATTTTGACAGCTCCCTCCGCGCTCGCAAAACAGGGGTTTTCAGGACTTAAGCTTCGCAAAACAGCGATTTAAACAGCTGATCAGCGGTTCGCAAAGCGGCTTTCCTATGGCCGATCTTCGCTAGACAACGATTCTTCCTCATTGGAACGCATTAAACAGGTTTCAATGCATTCCAATGGGAAATGCTTTTTGCTAGCCAATGATTTCGCTGAACAGCGATTTCAGTGGAACGGATTATCATCGTCTAGCGAGGCACCACTGCACACATATATCAGTGTGGGTTGATGCTGAGGAGTCCCAGTGGTTGTAGTTTGGAAGAATTATTTTTTAAGCTCTACATGTAATCTCTCCCAGATGTTACTCTACTGACTTGTGCAAAACAGTCACTTGCTTGGCATAAGAGATGATGAAGCCCATGCTTTTGTGCAGCCCCTGTCACATACAAGAAACATCACAGGGACAGAAACTACTTCATTCTTAACAAGTCAGTGGGAGAGAAAGGAGAAGGCATTCTACTCAGGAGAGCAGCAGATAAGAGCCAGAGAATGATGTTTCTCTTTTGCCAGGCTTTTTTATACCAGTAAAAGGATTCTCTTCCTACGCACCAGCAGGGAGACCAAACAGCCTGGTAAAGGTGGGGAGGAAGACTCAAAGTCCTGGTGCATCAACCTCATGCTCTTTCATGAATGGAGTTCTTGACCTTGGCTACTAGAAAAACAGGGACCCAATGGGGGGCAGGCCAAAGGTGGGACATGGAGAAACAAGAGGGACACTAAATTCAGAGTCCAGCTATGCCAGTGGTTCTACTGACCTGATGCCGCAAAAGGAACACTTTTTCAGGACAGATTCTATTGCATCATAGGGGGCTTCTGAAGAATACCTGGCTTTTTATGTATTTCATCAAAACTAAATGTTCGACAATATACAGTATCATTTTAGTAAGTCTGTATAACAGAATGGCTTTGAACATCCCCATTTTAAGCTCCCTTTTTTGGGCTGGAGATTATTCTATGCCAGGCGAGGACAGCGAGGCAGTTGCCCACTGGGGACTCACCTTTCCAAAATGCTTTAAAACAGTGTTTGTTGCAGACTGGTGGGTATCCCGATTTGTCAAATCCAGCGGCACAATCAGAATATCTTTGTCATTTAGGCTGCTGATCTCTGAAGACAAAACGATCGAACAAACAAAACAGAGGTGAAAGTGGGAAGGAAATTGGAATTAATGAATGGAAACGTACTTCTGGGGAAAAAAATCAGACTCGCAGGTCTCTATGTGGAATGTCTCAGAAACCCGGTGGGCTTGTGTATCAAGAGGTCCTCTTAAGCATCCCTCATGATCAATCTCACTCAACTATTATCTGGCCAACATTGAAAGGCAGGGTTTCAGACAGAGGTCTCTTTCGTCCTATGTAGAGACACTAACAGAACCCTGGCTAAGGAAAGATCCAGATGGCAGGGTAACTTTCAGAATAGGGGTGGACCACCTCCAAAGTTTGAGAGCCACACACATTTATCCCTGAACCTTGGAGGACCTACAAGAGACCCACCATCTAAAATAACTCCTTTCTGGCATTTCTCCCTCAAATGCATTGTTTAAGGGGGTGCAAGAGAGCTGAATTTAGGCCCATAATGGTTACTTGTTGTCCTCCCTGTTTCCCTAGAAAGAAAGATAGAAAGGAACAAACACCTCCAGCCAAATCCTCAAACTTAAAGCTAGGCTGATGAGAGAGGGAAAGCACCCGAATGTCAGTGGAAGCCAGCTACAATTTCCCTACCTTTGTGTCCTCCAGATGCATAAAGCAGCAATCTCTCTTCCCCCCCCCCGCCGCCCATCATCTACTAGATTTACAGTGTGACCTTTTCTAACAGAGATTACAGGCGTCAGGGTCCAATACACAGTACGGGAAGGTGCCCCGTTTCTGGAAGGATGATCTAACCCTACACATGATCTAACCCTACCCGTGCACATTAATTTTAAATACATGTGTTTGTGTTTAGTATCTCCATAGAAATACCACCACAGAACGAATCGCGGATCAAATCACAGTCACACACTCTGCTAGCTACTGGCATCAACAAACACTTCCACAGAAATGGTAGTTAATATCGTTAGGCGCACGCCATACATTTGCTGGTTGCTAAATCGTTCCATGTTTAGATGTAATAAAGCCGTGCCGATCTGGCAGAATTTCACAATTCCATATGAAAGGTGATCTGAGAGAGAAGCAAGGAAGGAAGGAAGGAGGGAGGGAAGGAGGAAAGAAAAATAAGGAGAAAATAAAAATAAGGAAGGAAGAAGGAAGGAAAAGAAAGAAGTTTGCTGTTTCACAGAAGAAGAACATATAGAATGGTGTAATTATGAGAGTTTCACTGAGAGAAACCAAAGGTTTGTTGCCCTCTTACCAAATTAAGGTGAAAGTTAACTAATTAGGTCAAAGGTGCTTTAAATAAAAAGCAATGTGTTTAAAGGAACTTTGCCATAGCTGTAACTCTCACATGGATATGCGAGTAATGTTCAAGGCAACCCCAATGATACCCCGCTCTCCAAAAAGTAGATAAATAAATGGGGAAGGGAGATTAAAAACTGTGCCCCAGTATTTCATGGAGGGTTGAAGAAACTGAGGTCAAACAACGTGGCTGTGAATAACAACCCACAGAGAGCACATCATTAGAAGCGGAGATCCCACTTGTCTTCCAGACATGGGATTCCGGGAGACCTTTGTGAGTAACTCATGTTTGAACACAAAGCCTGTGTTCAACTTCTGGTGACCAGCCACGAAACAAAAACAAGCCAGTCTGCAAACTCCACGAAGCAAGACAAGCCTCTGATGTGACAACAAGACACAGACAGTACTTAAGGAATTTCCTTTTCTAAGGATCGGTGATGTATTCTTTGATCCTGACCATTTCAGGAAGGTTGCAAGAGTCCGGGCTGAGCAAGTGAGAATCCTAGGGATTCTGTAAATAAGGCAAGGGAGAAGGAAAGGAACAAGATTTTGTAGCAGATTGTCTCAAGGCAAAAAGTGTGCATTGGCTCCTTTCTGTGTATGCAGTTGTGATCTATATGGATCTACAGGCAGAGCTACATTAAGCATATTTATTTATTTATTTATTTAT